TGGGTACTTGCGAACAACGCCGGACGCTAGTAATTTATCTGTGAAAACCAGGCCCTCAACTATGACTAGCCGCACTTCCTTCACCTTCACAGGCAGGATGGCGCAGTTAATGCAGGGGTCAGAAAGGGCCTCACGCAGGTGGCCAACGCCTAGGCAGGCGGGGCACATGTCATGACCATCTTCTACTTGTAGTTCAGCTCCACAAGAGGAGCAGCCATGCATGCCCAGCATCATGGAGATGTGCTGTTCTCTCAGCTCAGAATGTGAAGAAAAAATTAAATATAAATATAAAATATTTCTTATGCAATACACTGATTCATCAATTAACTGATATAATAGTAACCGGAGACTGTATACAACAGCTACCACAATACAAAGTAAGGGTAGAGAGCTACAATATTCTGGCGGGAGCATGCTAGTAATACCAGGGGAGGGAATACCAGGGGGAGGCAATCCGAATCTCACGTTTTATAGCTGGCTAGGCTAACAACCTTCCTAGATGTGGTTATCTAGGGAAGTGACCCGTTCGAGTTTTAAATAGTCGAAGGATGACTAGTGCCCGGTGGCCTCGATAACGAGCACAGCAGTGGAGGATATCTTGACAAGGTTAGCACCAGAGTACGGTGGCCAACACACACGCTAGCTGGTAGGCTAAGTCAGCACAAGACAAGGAAGCCCGATATCCTCAGATAAAAAGGGATAAGTAGGGGAGAGCTGTCACACAGCCTTGGAGAGCGAATTTCGCACTCTGACCCACAGGTCACAGGCTGTTGGTGACAGACTGACAGTACACACAACTCACACAGAGTTTAGCTTACCCTACTGGGACCTGGGAAGGTGCAATCCTAAAAACGGGAGCCGCGGAGCAGTCAACTTGCGCAATACGCTAAGGCAACTTTGCGATAAGAAATAAGAGACAGTGTGTGGTCTGACGTACGGTTTTATATGAACCGCGGGGCACGTCCTCCCACGCTGTCACGTCACCGGCGTAACTTTGTTGTTATTATTACTCTACCTGCGTGGAGCACGAGGGATATAATCCATACTCTCAACCGTACTGACGGTCTGAAAGGTATGAAGCAGAACCCACCATGTCAAACGAACAAAAAAGAGCTGATTGTATATGCTGCCAATGAGGGTGTCTGTGGCCATGTTTGAGAGCATCAAATCCATGATGCATTGTGGGTAATTGGTGACTAACTGACTGATCTACAAATAATAATGAGTAGTTATTTATGATGCAAGGTGATTTGTAGATCAGTCCGTCGCCTACACTGTCGGCTGCAATGTTGAACAAGCGCTGTGTCCTGCTGCACTCAGTGGAAACTGCAGTAAGCTGGGCCCCGGTCCGGATCCACCACTACTAACATTTATTACAAGTAATGATATAATTTATTTTCACATATTTTTCATAATCATGAATAATGGGCAGATGGACCAGAGTAGCATTGGATTGCAAACCTTTGATTTGTTTGATTGGAGAGACTTACAATGATGCATAAAGCCTCTTATTTGTTGGCAGACAACAGTCTCACAGTCCCTGGGTGCACGTTTTGGTTTTTGCCCTAGCACTACACAGCTGATTCGAATAACCAACTCATCATCAAGCTCTGATTATTTGAATCAGGGGAAACCTTGTTCTAAAGGACTACAATTCCCTACTGCTGCACTTCCTGTTGCGCAGCACACACAGCATGATTGCAATGCCACATGGGATAGGAGTTCTTTGCCTTCTTTTCTTTTGCCCTGTTGTTCTTCTTGCACCTTCTCGGTTCTTCTTTGGTCAGAGATGGTTGTCTTCGCTTTGGTTTGGACACTTTTGAATGGGTTGCATGAAATTTTCCTTATAATAACTCCTTATTGAAAAATATTTATACTTCCACTATCAATCAATGAAAAAACAAATGCAAACCCTTTGGCCTGGTGCATTGGATGAGTAGCCCACATTGTACTGTCTGTAATGCTAGACTGGGTAGATATGGCCCCATGGGTGGACGAGAGCTAGGTAATGATGTGATGTGAGCATTTGCAGAATGACTTTGATTATTTGTGACAGTGAGATTACACCATGGATTACACATGTTGTGCATTGTACATCAAAAGCATTCATTTTGTTAACCCCCAGAAGAGGAGACTTCAGTTTAGTTTGCCTTTTGTAAAGTTATGATTGCAACATTGATGTGATAGGGATTTTTGAAAGTCAGGACAGTCCTTTTATAGTTGAAAAAAATACATGTTGTTGCATTATTTGACCTTAAAATGTACATTTAGGGGGAAATATTTGTTTTGGGAATATTCAAAATACTTTCAATATTATTTATTTCCATGTTGTCTCTGTGCCTGGAAATGCCCTTGTCCGGAGCAAAAGATCCCAATTTCAAACTCACCAAAAACAAATACTATTCTAAAAACGGGCAAAAATGTATATTAACTGAGAATTGATAGTATGTAGTTACTTGCAATAGCCCCGTGCGACTTTAAAGAATATTTCTCTCAAAACTAAAAGATGTGTCCGGAGATTTGGTTTACTCTGTCATATTAGTCTAAAATTAATCAGGAATGAGCAGGGTCAGCTATACCATAAGGACCCCTTATACATGTCCTCATTACATGTAGTGCAACAAGAACACTCATGGTCTGTAAAGTTCTCTACTTTTGATAGATTTAAACAAACAATATTGGAATCACTGTGGTCACAACCATATACTGTCAACTCCATCAGCCTGATAGATTAAAATAGAATATGAATTTTGGTTCAAATATGTTACATTTAATTATTAGTTATTAGTTAGTTATATAGTTAATTAGGTTTTAGAGTCATAAAGAAACTGAGGGAAAACTAAATTGCTACTGTGTTTGCTACTTCACAACAGTGGTCATTCTTCTGTGAGCTGCTCCATGCAACAACCAGTTGAAAACTGCCAGCTCTTGATAATATTCCGCTGTAAGTAGGCTATGTGTGCGGCCCACATGTGAATATATTTCACGTAGTTTGCATTTGTGTAGGCTACTATGTGCATGATTTCTCTACTGTACTAACCACAGACTTTCTAAACCCAGAGAAGCAACATTCCGAGACTTCCGGATATGCATGCGAAACAGACCAAGCAGACAAGGCCGGGGTTTGGAGTTGAGAAGTCAATGAGGGAAGTGAAACATTCTTCCTTAGTTGTTAATTTTCTCTAAGTCTAAATGCACAACCTAGATTCGAGCTAATGTCTTAAGTAGTTGAAAATGTTATTACTCCAACCTCGTGAAAATGACAAACTCACACGCTTTCATTTTCGTCAAAAACAACTTTATATCTAAGGAGTGCCTTTGATTTGACTGCATGCACATGCGCAGTTCGGCACGAGATGACCGTTAGACCCGATGGCGTGTTTCTGCGCATGTGCTTAGCTAGCCAACGTCGCCAAGGCATCGCCTAGAATTTGATGATCGGGGATTTCTATTGGATAAGCAGTTTCTGCCTATCTTCATACTGTACTGTCTTTGACTGTAATACATAATTGACACGGCATATACCTCTGCTACATTACTTTTATACACATCAGTGGATTAAGAAGTGAGTATAAGCAATGCCCACTGAAAAAAAGTGGGTACAGTATACCGCACACTGTACCTGCGTATAGCCTCCACCACACCACTGCTTCCTTGCCATTCTTTGTCTGTCACCTTCAGCAACGAGTTGTCTTTTCATTATAAGGCCTATAGCTACCTGTATTCATGTACGTTACAATTTGGTTACCATAGTATTTGTCTGTGTTTGGACAGTTTGTTTCTCATTTGTGGTAATCAGAGTAGCCTACTCTACGGCGCGACCAATGTGCACGACATCTGTGCCGCGAGGACTGCGTTTGACACTCACTTGACGTCACTTTGTAGGCGGGTTTTTCATGGAATGTGCTGGAAAAAACGAAGTACACCCAAAAGAGCTGACTGATATTCTTCCGTGAGAGTAAAAAGATCCATAATTTCCACATTTTTATACATTTTATATGTGGCAATTTCGTACTGCACTGTCCGATTGATACAAAATGTGACATTATGGTTTTATATCATATATGTTTCCCCATTCACGGTGTCCACTACTAAATGATGAAGATTTGCTTTGAATAAAGCTGTAGTCTATCATCGTGCCATGTAATCAAAAGTCAAAAGCCGGCAGTTCAAACAACTATATATGTATTCCCTATCAAGTCAATAGACTTTCCCAAAGATATTTCAGATAATTTACAAACTATTCCACACGCTTGAGAATGCGAAGGCAATTCAAGTTTCAAATGTTAATGTCACATGTACAAGTACAGTGAAATGCCTTTCTTACAAACTCAAAACCCAACAATGTAATAATCAATAACAATGTAATACTAGAGAGAGAAAAAACACGAGAAATAATAAGAAATATGAAGAACACAATAAGTAAGCGTACTATATACTGGGTCAGTTCAAATACCATATTTACAATGTGCAGGGATACTGGAGTGATAGAGGTAAGGTGACTTAAACAGAGTAGCAGCAGCTTGTATGTATGTAAGTGGGAGTGCGTGTGTATAAATGTATGTGCATGTTATGTGTGAGTGAGCAGATGATGGAGTGAGTGTGTGTGTAGGGCCCTGTGAGTGTGCATAAAGACAAAAATATAAATAAAAAGGTAAATGGACCACTATGGAAATAAGCTTTTAAGCTTTATTGTGTTATCCTTGATGATTTTCTTAAATTGTATGTGGAGGCGACACCGGCTGGAGCGCCCTTATGTATGTATTTAAAAAAAAATTGTCTAATAATTTCAATCAATCAATACAAGGATACAAGGTTAACTCATAGTCCGTGTAGCTATTTCATGATGCAAATGGTTCATAATGGAAATGGATGAAGATCATCATAATGATAGAAAGGGAAAAAATAACTATCACTTCGATTAAGTTATTTATATTTATTTTAATGTGACAAGCATTTACATGCAATTTAACTTGAAAGTGTTTGGTTCCTTCATAATTGTTGGGAGATGCTGCACCCACTGATGCCGCAACAACACAGCTGCGGATGGATACGTCCGCACAACCAAACACACAAGAGGGTATAAAGATATCGGTCTTTTAAAAGGAAATCCCTTTCTATTTTCCTGCGTCAGAGAGCAGAGGGGACTGGAGATATTGGTAGCATTTTATTCAAGAGAAGTCAACGGAACAAATAAAGGTATATATTCACGTCTTAATAAGGCTTAAGCTCAGCCATGTACTTATATTGTTGGTTTTATGAAATCAGCGCTCAACTGAAGTATTCATCTTCATGTTGACTACAGTAACGCGTTGCCGTCTCTGGCTTGGTCCAGCGTCCATCAGTCGAGAATGTTCGATTCAGGAACTAACGTTACTGTAGCTAGTTTACAAACGTCTGTTACATTTTACGTAGCTACATAATAATTTAATTCGTATTCCGTACTTATACACTTAAGTTATCTAGCTGACGTTAACTACATTTTGCGGCAATTTTCAGTCACCACTCATTCGTCTCACCACACCTGATTCCGTCTTTCGTCCTAGATGTGTGTACTAGCTAAAGTTAGCTAGATTGGCTAACTTTTGGAAAAGCCAATTTCTAGGGTACGGTTAACGTTACTAAGTTAAGTTGGTGTATAACTGTTATCGTTAACAGGATTGGCTGTCGAACTAGCTACTGTCAACGTTTCGCTCAGCAGCCATTTCCTAGCTTTCATTTTCCGTCTGGCTAATGCAGCTAGCTAGCAGCGGGTAACATTAACTAGCTACACTGCATAGCTTCTGACACTTTGCAAATTGTTGCAGTGTCAATTTAGTGGCCATTTGAACTGCCCCGAAGTTGCAATTGGTTGTGCCATGCACCTTCTGAGTGTAGCTAATTAAACATTGTATGCAATGGTTGACCTTGTCCTTTATGACTCCAGTAACGTTAATTGTACATTCAGGCAGCATGACTTCGCGAGACGGTATGCTAGCTAACATTAGCTACTTCCTCGTGCATGTCTAGCATTGCGGAATCGTCACCTTCCACGATATTAGCGATTTGATATCCACGTGCGGACAAGTTTAAATTCGGTCAACGTTCTGGAAGTCAATTTGGCGTAGAATCTTTTATGGATTTCCAGAAATCCTTCCACCAACATTGTAAAACACGTGCTGGAGGGAACGTCCATTGTCTCAGGATGTCGCCATGTTGGCTGCTGGGTCCTCGACCTCCGGTAACTGGTTTATCACGAGGGAATGATTGGTAGAGAACACTTGTTAAGCCCCAAAATTGAGTTTCTTGTATTGATGCATAATTTTATTGTCAATTATGCTGTCAGATTGGCATGGCCATTAACCTTGCTAGATTTGTTGACTTTACTATGGAGGTGTTAAATGACTTACATTTGAACTGAAGGCAATGAACTCCCCTTGTTACTAACGGCACTAGATTATGCATAACATTGCTTAATTTAAATCTGTATTTACTATATTTGGGCATTTTTTCAGACTTCATAACATTGCTGCTTTTGCCCTCAGATGCCTGAAGAAATGCGCCAAGAGGAGGAGGCTGAGACCTTTGCCTTCCAGGCAGAAATCGCTCAGCTCATGTCCCTGATCATCAACACCTTTTATTCCAACAAGGAGATCTTCCTCAGGGAGTTGATTTCCAACGCCTCTGATGTAAGTGGGAGGGTTGTGGATTTTGCCCCATGTTGGATATGTAATAAAACACCCCTCTTTGAACTCAATAATATTTTGACGATTACTTTGTTCAATGTCTTTCAGGCTTTAGACAAAATCCGATACGAAAGTCTGACAGACCCCACCAAGCTGGACAATGGCAAGGAACTGAAGATTGACGTCATCCCCAATGTGGAGGAGCGCACCCTGACCCTAATCGACACTGGAATTGGTATGACCAAAGCTGACCTCATCAACAACCTGGGTACCATCGCAAAGTCTGGCACCAAGGCCTTCATGGAGGCCCTGCAGGTATGTCCATTGGATTACAGAAATATTCACTAATATGCATTCAAATACTATTCAGATGAGCAGGGAGAGTGAACTTGTTGTGATGAATTATTTCCCCCTCTTTGCTAGGCTGGAGCTGACATCTCCATGATTGGGCAGTTTGGTGTGGGTTTCTACTCTGCCTACCTGGTGGCCGAGAGGGTGACTGTCATCACCAAGCACAACGATGATGAGCAGTACATCTGGGAGTCCTCAGCCGGAGGCTCATTCACAGTCAAGGTCGACAGTGGTATGTGTCCCACTCAATAAAAGCGGGGTGCGCACGACAGAACAATCGAAAAACAATAACATAAAGTACCTCTGCATTGTTTTTAGATGGTATAGTGGATCACAGGTGTTTTTACACTACGTGTCTTGTGGTGATGAAATGGGCAAATGGTTTTCTATGGTGTTAATTTCCAGGGGAGCCCATGTTGCGTGGAACTAAGGTGATTCTCCACATGAAGGAGGACCAGACTGAGTATGTTGAGGAGAAGCGGGTCAAGGAGGTGGTCAAGAAGCACTCTCAATTCATTGGATATCCCATCACCCTCTTCGTGAGTATATGTATGGGAGTATTTGACTGAAGTGTGATTAGTTACTATTTTATGTAGACGTGGTTGAGGATACAATAGTAAGGGAAAGTTTGACCTTTTATTGAAGGATTCAAATAAACTAAATTGCTCCCTTTGTTTCTGTGCAGGTTGAGAAGGAGCGTGAAAAGGAGATCAGCGACGATGAGGCTGAGGAGGAGGAGAAGGCAGAGAAGGAGGAGAAAGAGGAGGCTGAAGACAAGCCCAAGATTGAGGACGTGGGCTCTGATGACGAGGAGGACTCCAAAGACAAGGACAAGAAAAAGACCAAGAAGATCAAGGAGAAGTACATTGACCAGGAGGAGCTGAACAAGACCAAGCCCATCTGGACAAGGAACCCCGACGACATCACCATGGAGGAGTACGGAGAGTTCTACAAGAGCCTGACCAACGACTGGGAGGAACACCTGGCTGTCAAGGTACTAACAATCACAATTATTTCCCATGTAGGCCTGGATGGCCTGTTCCCAGATCTGTTTGTGATGTGTAGCCAACTCCTATGGTCATGAATGACTGTGGGAATAGCTATACAGCACACAGATCTGAGAACAGGATAAGGTGATGTGAGTGTATTGGTGTTTAACTCTCCTGCTTCTTCCCCTCTGCAGCACTTCTCAGTGGAGGGCCAGCTGGAGTTCCGTGCCCTGCTCTTTATCCCCCGCCGCGCTCCCTTCGACCTCTTTGAGAACAAGAAGAAGAAGAACAACATCAAGCTGTACGTCAGGAGGGTCTTCATCATGGACAGCTGTGAGGAGCTCATCCCAGAGTACCTGAGTAAGTAACCCAGTCTACGCTGCTTTCTTTCAGTCTCGGCATTGTCTAAAGATCCAAAATGGCTGTGATTTTTGTCCCCTGGGGTGTAGTCATTCCACCCACTTTAAAATGTTTCTTAAACGGAAGCAAATGAAACTGAGGGACCAATCGAAACTCACTTTAGTTCTTAAATGGTCAACGGTTTCTGTAATGCATACACCCCTGGCCACAGACTATTTCAGTGCTACTGAATGCAAAGACATCGCTGTCTCACGAATGGGTTTATTCACATTTAGGCTAATGGCAAGGGCTGACGATGCTGCTCTGAAATGGTTGGCTACTAGTCTGTTCTCTTAAGCCTACTCATGATGTATATTAATTGTTTTACACACTGAAGTTCTTTCTGTATTAAAGTGAAATTTTAATACATGTCTGTCTTCTCCCCCTACAGACTTTGTGCGTGGTGTGGTAGACTCTGAGGATCTCCCCCTGAACATCTCCCGAGAGATGCTGCAGCAGAGCAAGATCCTCAAGGTGATCCGCAAGAACATCGTCAAGAAGTGTATGGAGCTGTTTGGTGAGCTGGCAGAGGACAAGGAGAACTACAACAAGTTCTACGATGGATTCTCCAAGAACCTCAAGGTGACTCATTGCATATGTCAGGAGATGGGTAGGAACTTGAAACAGAATCTTATCTTTTGAACAAAGATTTTTGCTGCTAATAATTCAACTTGTCCTCTCCCACAATTGCTGTCATCTGGTGTTCTTCAGTGATTCACCGTGGAATAAACAAAGGTTTACCTCACCGTGGATTAAACAAAGTTTGACCTAGAGTAGATTCCTTTCTAGCAATGTAGTTTGCCCAATATCTTAATTGAAATATTAGCGAGATCTTGCTCCTCATACCCTGTAGGGCTAGTTTCTGGACTGTGTTCCAAACCAGTATCCAGCCTATATAAGCTAAATGAGTGCATAAAACGAACTTCCCCAGGCAGTAGTTTAATGTGTAGTGGTCTCGTATTGACTACCAGGTTATACTAATGGTCATTGTTTCTCTACAGCTGGGCATCCACGAGGACTCCCAGAACCGCAAGAAGCTGTCTGAGCTGCTGCGCTACCACAGCTCTCAGTCCGGAGACGAGCTGACCTCCCTCACAGAGTACCTCACCCGCATGAAGGACAACCAGAAATCCATCTACTACATCACTGGTGGGTCTAGTTAGACATTCAGCCCCAATAACGTAGAGCTCCAAACCCAGTGGCAGACAGTGAATCACTTAGACCCAGAAGGTGACTGACATTACATTGTTTTTTTTTTTTAGGCGAGAGCAAGGACCAGGTGGCCAACTCCGCCTTTGTGGAGCGCGTGCGCAAGCGTGGCTTTGAGGTCCTGTACATGACGGAGCCCATCGACGAGTACTGCGTCCAGCAGCTGAAGGAGTTTGATGGCAAGACCCTTGTCTCCGTGACCAAGGAGGGCCTGGAGCTGCCGGAGGACGAGGAGGAGAAGAAGAAGATGGATGAGGACAAGACAAAGTTTGAGAACCTCTGCAAGCTCATGAAGGAGATCCTGGACAAGAAAGTAGAGAAGGTAGGTGACTGGAACAACCTGTGATTTCTGCAATTATTTAACCATTAAGTTAATAAATTTCTGGTATTTGTGCTCTTATTTTGGAGAGCGTATCACAGTTGACGTTTTACTTTTATTTCTGGTTGTGAACAGGTGCCCTAGTTCATCATTAGCTAATATTGATCCTGGTGAGTCCATTGTCAATGTAGCCTGAAGTGGGCCTGTCCTGTTGGGCTCCCGTGGTGTGTTGTGACGCTAACCTGGCTTTGGCATTGACTTGAACGGGAATGCCCAATGTGCTGTAGTTTTTGTCCCCAGGTGTTCGTGTGGCATTACCCAGAGACTCTAGAAGACATTGTGAATTTGTGACGCAGCATTCATTTAGTGGTGGTGACTGCTTGTGGCGATAATGTTCTAACACTGACACACCCTCATTCAGACTTGAGAATTTGCCTGTTTCTGACTACATTTAGGATGTTGTGCTATTTGAGTGAAATCTAACAAGACTTTCCTGCACGATATTTAACTGGATTTTGTCCATTTTTTAAAACTCATCTTTTGAATATAAATTAAACTTGCCTACACAGGTTCTTGCCGAACTAATCTCCCATGCTGTTACCTTGTGAACGAACACTCTGCTTGGTGTTCCCCAGGTGACAGTGTCAAACAGGCTGGTGTCGTCGCCCTGCTGCATCGTGACCAGCACGTATGGCTGGACGGCCAACATGGAGAGGATCATGAAGGCCCAGGCCCTGAGGGACAACTCCACCATGGGCTACATGATGGCCAAGAAACACCTGGAGATCAACCCAGACCACCCCATCGTGGAGACCCTGAGGCAGAAGGCTGACCTGGACAAGAACGACAAGGCGGTGAAGGACCTGGTTATCCTGCTTTTCGAGACCGCACTGCTCTCCTCTGGCTTCAGCCTGGACGACCCTCAGACTCACTCCAACCGCATCTACAGGATGATCAAGCTGGGCCTGGGTGAGGATGCACTCGCAACTAGCGGGGGGGAACTGTTCTCTAAAGGGGGTCTTAGTTGATTATAATGGAAATGTAGGCTGGATCTCATGTCCCTTCCTCCTTCCCCTCCAGGAATCGATGATGACGAAGTGATCCCTGAGGAGCCCACCTCTGCACCCGCCCCAGATGAGATCCCACCTCTAGAGGGAGACGATGACGCTTCACGCATGGAGGAAGTGGATTAAATACCACTTAAAATCTACCCCTTATATAGCCTCACGTTTTTCCAATCGAACATGTTTATTTGCCCTTTTTAAACGGGTAACCTGGTCAGTGTCCTTTATGGTATAAAAGTCTTAACTCATGCTGTCCAGTCGACCAGTGTTGCTCTCTTGTCTTGAGCCTTCAGCAAAAATTCTAGAAATGCGGTTCATTTTTGTTGTACAAGCTGTATGTAATAGTTAATGGTGGGCAACGCATCTGAAAAAAACAGTACCCTGTTGCACTGAGTTTTAAATATTGGACTGGTAGATGTGTGTGAACAATGGGAAATGGAACATTCCATTACTGACACGGTGTTGGGTTGGTTCTTATGTGCAACATAACATGCACGCTGCATGGAGCGTTGACTGCAAGGTTCCTTTGCCTGAGTCCAGACCTGTCTGTATTCAGTCTTTGTTTTGCAGAAATTAAAAGATGTAATACCTTAAACGATCTAATTTGCTGCCTGGACTACTTTGTTCTTCCAAACATTAGAAACTGTTCACCTGTCATATCCATCAACCACTAGGTGTCCCTGTTTCTCTAGTTAAACCTAGTCCTTCACAATTAGGCTTATCAGTGGCAAGGAAGGTACATGACTTGTTTGGACAGTTGACACATCGGTCCCTAAGCTACTGCATTTATCACGGAAAATCTAACTTTGTATTTTTGGCTTTATAGTGGATTCTTTTATCTTGACTACAGAACATTGACACATGCAGATGCTGGAGATGGAGGTTTCATTAGTGGTAAATTACCCCTTTTCTATGCAGCAATCCGTTGAGGCTTACTCCTCACCCATTTCAGGATTGGCCTGGAGAAATGTAACAATTCATAGACTGCTAGATGCAAGGCCTGACCATCCATGATATCAATTATAGTTTGAACCATGATGAGGCTAGTGTTTAGACGGAGTAAAACAAGCATTGGCAACAGCGTTATTCTTTAAGAATCACTGGGTACAAACAGTGCCTTCGGAAAGTATCCAGACCCCTGTGACTTTCCCCACATTTTGTTACTTTACAGGTTTGTTCCAAAAGTGTTTTGTTTTTATCCCTCAAATCTACACAATACCCCATAAAGCAGAAACAGGCTTTTATACATTTTTGCTAATTTATAAAAAATTAACCTGAATGATCACAACTACAAGTATTCAGACCATTCAATCAGTACTTTGTTGAAGCAGCATCGAGTCTTTGGTATGACGCTACAAGCTTGGCACACCTGTATTTGAGGAGTTTCTCATCTCTGCAGATCCTCAAGCTCTGTCAGGTTGGATGGGGAGCGTTGCTGCACAGCTATTTTCAGGTCCCCAGAGATGTTCGATCGGGTTCAAGTTCATGCTCTGGCTGGGCCACTCAAGGACATTTAGAGACTTGTCCCGAAGCCACTCCTGCGTTGTCTTGGCTGTGTGCTCTGGAGCAGGTTTTCATCAAGGATCTCTCCGTACCTTGCTCAGTTCATCTTTGCCTCATTCCTGACTAGTCTCCCTGCCGCTGAAAAACATTCCCACAGCATGATGCTTCACCTTAGGGATGGTGCCAGGTTTCCTCCAGATGTGATGCTTGGCATTCTGGCCAAAGAGTTCAATTTTGGTTCATCAGACCAGATAATCTTATTTCTCATAGTCTTTAGGTACCTTTTGGCAAACTCCATGCGGGCTGTTGTGCTTTTTACTGAGGAGTGGCTTCAGTCTGGCCACTCTACCATAAAGGCCTGATTCAGGGAGTGCTGCAGAGATGGTTGTCCTTCTGGAAGGTTCTCCCATCTGCACAGAGGAACTCTAGAGCTCTGTCAAGAGTGACCATCGGGTTCTTGGTCACCTCCCTGACCAAGGCCCTTCTCCCCCAATTGCTCAGTTTGGCTGGGCGGCCAGCTCTAGGAAGAGTCTTGGTGGTTCCAAACTTCTTCCATTTAAGAATGATGGAGGCCACGTTGTTCTTGGGGACGTTCAATGCTGCAGACATGTTTTGGTACCCTTCCCCAGATCTGTGCCTCGACACAATCCTGTCTCTGAGCTCTACGGACAATTCCTTCGACCTCATGGCTTGGTTTTTGCTCTGACATGCAGTCAACTGTGGGACCTTATATAGACAGGTGTGTGCCTTTCCAAATCATGTCTAATCAATTGAATTTACCACAGGTGGACTCCAATGAAGTTGTAGAAACATCTCAAAGATGATCAATGGAAACAGGATGCACCCGAGCTCAATTTTGAGTCCCATAGCAAAGGGTCTGAATACTTATGTAAATAAAGTATTTGTTTTTTATTTCGAATACATTTGCCTAAGTTTAAAAACAAAACTTTTCGCTTTGTCATTATGGGGTATTGTGTGTAGATTGCTGAGAAAAAAATATTGAATCCATTTTAGAATAAGGCCGTAACGTAACAAAATGTGGAAAAAGTCAAGGGGTCTGAATACTTTCCGAAGGCACTGTAAATCAGTGGAAGTAGCAACTGCAGATTGCCCTTTTAAGTTAGACCTTGCATAAAACTGTCTAGAATATAGGTTTTCAACTTGAACCATAATGGTAGTGGTTCGCACCCTGTGAATGTCTGTTGCCACTCAAGGCATTAACCCACAAAGGTTTCGAGGTTACGGGTTATTCATCAATCAGTGAGATGCATGAAAAAGTCAAGGTGAATTCTTTGAAATCACATGGTTTATAGTATAAAGCAGAGACCTAGTGAGGGGGTGGTGATAAAGGTAGATTTGCAGTTTTCAGCTATTGTATGGAGGAAATGTGTTAACTTGTGTGGGTGTCTTATTCACCCCTGACCCCTTCCACTTCTCAGTCATCCTGATACTGAGTGGTCTCACCAAGCGAGGGACTTGCACAATCGTGTCAACAGAAACACGATGCTAGGCTACTATAAATATCAGAGGAGTGAAAAGATCAGAACGCAGTAGTAGATTTTTAGACGTTTGAATTTGCCTTCTCTTTTACCACTGCAACTAGAGATTTCACATGTAGTAAAGATTTAACTCGTGACTTCAGGTTCAACAAATGACTTCCTGTGGAACTTGTTCTTCTAAAGATATGTGGTTGTTGTCTTCATTCTTCATACTCTTAGTGGTGACAAAATATGTCCCCAAGTAGGAGGTGATATGTTCATTCACACTGTACCACACCTCCCTACATGATCTATAGAAATTATAAATCATGATCTGATTAAAGAAATGTCCTCATGGGGGTGATGAAGGTCAATTGTGTCGGGCAATTGAGCACACTGGTCGATTCTGAATGGGGTGATTAAAAAAACTGCTCAATGTAACGTGTGTGATATTTGCTTTACAGTAAATTGAAACCATGAGATGCAATATAAGGAACACAACTTTCACCACACAAGATTACAATCGGTCTTTGTCAATGTCCACCGTATCTGTCACTGCAGCTCTCGTGCACAATACCAGTGTTGTATTTCCGTTTCCATTACATTATGAGCCCTGAGAATGAGTAGACCAACAGAGTGACAGGATAGAGAATCTAAATAGAATAGCTTAATGATATCAGAGATTACTATCTTCAATATCTGAAGGGAGAAATATTTGTTTACGCACGCTCATAAGTTGTCTAAACATCACAGACAGGAAATCGATCAACCCTAAAGAAGAAGGTGGAATTCAGATGACATAACTGGAGGTGACCTAAAATAAACGACGAGAACTGGACCCACCAACTAATAACCTTTCCAGTTGGGTGGAGGGGGATGTAGAACATTACACAGAGGCATAACACTTCATATCTGTTTTGTTCCACTACTACAGTAAGCGTTATCACCAGTTAACCCTTTCCTGCCACTCACAGTGAAAGCTTGTAGTGACTGGTTGGTTTCCCCAGGAGTGGGAAGGTTGACTGAGGGTTGAGTGTGTAGCCTTTTGCTCCTTTACACCAGTGAAGAGAAGCATGGAGATGCCCACGTCTTCACACACTGATCCGGACAGTTTGGGAGTAGGTGGTGTTGTAATGACAGCCCAGGGGGAAGTTCCCCATATGGCTGTGTGTACTTCACACTGATTAGATATCACACAATACCATAATAGCTTCAACTCAACAACACACACTAACAGACAACTTCTGGAGAAGATCATCATTCTGTTCTCTGGTAATTTATAGTTTAATATCAAGAGGTCATGACCTTTTAAAGGTCAATAATCAATATGTGCAAGAGGAAATAATGTATCAGTGTAGTCAGCCCCCCTAGGTCACAGCTACATCTCATAGCACCCTCTGACCTTTTCACACAAAAAAACAACCCATTCAAGGTGGAAATTACACATACATCCATTCCAAGTGTTAACTTCATATATTTACATTAATTTAAATGTTGTTTTAATTATCAATCCAGCCTACTAGTTGAACTACTACAATGATAAAAACAGAAAGTACTGGTTACATTGCATTTCTGTTGTAAGCATTCAGGAGTTCTAAGCCAAACCCCAAGCCTGTCCAATCAATCCTTCACATTCTTAAGAGAGCATCAACCACCATCACCATCCATTCAGGCCACATTAAAACATTCACACATCAAAAAGCAGCTCTCCTGAAAATGAGCACATCATTACAGACAGATAAAAATGTTTATGACTCCATCATAAGAAACACGTACTGTATGCGACTACGCTCCATGTGTCCAAAAAGGTTACAGTTTCAAATGAAGCCAAAGATCCAAAAGACAAATGTTTACATTGCATTCTTCCCTAAGTCACTCCCCCGGGCAACATTGAAGGCTATGTAAAAACCATTGAATTATCATGAATATGCCACGTCCCATGACCCATTCTATGACATTTGCTTTGCTACTAGTCCTTTACAGTTGTTTTAACTGTAGTCCTTGTCTAGACCAGATAGAGGTGGGGCCAACCGTCTATTCAAACATCACCATTAAACCAACTGACATTTCAACAAAGGTGTTAAGCTAACGCAAACAGAACATAAAAATATGACATTTGTAAAGCCTATACATAGAACATTAATATTGTTTTGAGTCATATTCATCTAAAGTGTTACAGCAAGAGCAGATGGACTTATGGACCATAGTTAATGACAGAGTGCTGTATATTTGAATGTTTTATATTTGAACTTCATGAAGTGATTGCTGTTTGACAAATCAACACCATTCATTGACAGGGACTGTACACACTATGCCCTAAGGGTGATTACTGACTATGGCTTGTTTGAATACAAATTCCAATCTTGATAATCCAGAACAACTGGTCCATGTCCTGTTCCAAATTACACACTGAGTGTACAAAACATTATGAACGCCTACTCTTTCCATGACAGAATGACCAGGTGAATGCTATGATCTCTTATTGACGTCACTTATTAAATCCACTTCAATCAGTGTAGATGAAGGGGAGGAGACAGGTTAAAGAAGGATTTTTAGGCCTTGAGAGAACTGAGACATGGATTGTGTATGTGTGCTATTCAGAGAGTGAATGGGCAAGACAAA